CAACACTAACTGGACATGCTTTAATAATACGGAACAACTTCTGAGTGATTGGATATTGTACGGGGTCACACAAATGAAAAACAACAGAAAGATCAGTAGTCAGTGATTTGACTCCTCCTCCGTCCTTGTTCATTCTAAAGCATTTGCTCTGCCACAATTCAACTTCCGATATAAATTCAAGTTGGGTACTAAGTCCAAGAATGGTACCATAAAAATTACTGATTGCTGAAACAGATTCGACAACATCTTTATGATTTAGTTTAATAATATTTTCTGGCATCAAAGAATAGATTTGGAGACATTGCAAATTTTCTTTAGAAAAACGAGTATTTATATCCAATATCAGTGCATCAAGAAGAGGGATGTAAACTGATCGCCTGTAATATTCTTCCAATGAATCAGAAGGTACATTTTCACGGCATGTCTGTCGATGCACAAATCTTTTGTAGGTAAAAGTGCCATCTTTTTCAATTATTATTTTTTCTGCTGCTCTAAAAATTTCCAAAAACATTTCTTCGCAGTTTTCTCTCTTTTTTTGTAAAACATTTAACAGGGCTTTAATGCAATTTTCTGCATCATGTAAATTTAAACTTTTTTTTTGAAACAATTCACTGAGGCCCTTTGTTAGAGAGAATACATACACAGCACAGCCTAAGGACACAATAAAATCACTTTCTCTAATTGCTGTTAATAAAGTTGTTGCTTTTGATGAAGTTGTTCTGTCATTCCATTTAGATATATTCTTTAGCGCATCAATTATTTGTGGAAGTTCAATACTAAACATCAGCAATGCGTCATGTCTCTCAACCCATCGTGTTTCGCAGAGTGAAACCAGTTGTGAATTTATCATGTTCTTTATTATAAAATTTCGTTTTGCAGAAGCATTGAAAAAAGCAACTACTTCACTAATAACACCCAAACAATTTCTTATTGCTTGTACATTCGAACTTTTTGATAAAGTTAAATTTAAAGCATGGTTATAACAAGGACACCAGACTGCATTCACTGCAACTTTTTGAATTTCAACTACTGCTCCTTTTTGTAACGAAGACATAACACTGCAACCATCTGTTCCCACACCAACACAGTTTTCTAGAGAAAGGTGGAACTTGTTTGAAAACATGTTTATAACCGATTGACCAATAATTTTGCCGTCAAGAATAGGTTCAGTGTCAATTGATGCAGTAATATCAGATTGGTAATTGTTGTCATGTAGATCAACAAATCCTGCAAAATCTTCTCGAACTGATCCATCAGGCAGCAAGTAACGTAATATTATAGTCATTTGCGACTTATGTGATGCATTGGTTGTTTCGTCAATCATAATAGCATAATACTTTGATTCTCTAACGCGACTCAAAATTTGTTCACATATTTCTTCCCCACAGCATTTAATTAACGCATTTTGTGTGGTTTTGCTAATATAGGTTGCTGATGCTCTAGCCGTTTTTAAATGATTTTCTAAATTTGAATCTCCACTGCTTACTCTAAATTTTAGCAATTCTCGGAAATTACCTTCATTTTTAATCACATCAGAATCTTCATCATCTTTGTCTAATATACTGCCATCATCTCTGTGTCCTCTGAATGGAATATTCTGCCTTCCTAAAAATATAATTGTTTCCACAATAGGTATCAATCTCTGACGATTCTCTAAAACCTGCTGAAGCCGTTAAGCATTTACTCTGTTTACAATATTTATTGCTGGTTCATTATAGTTTTTTAAAAAACACCTCCCTGCTTCAACAGCTTCCTTGTGGTATCTTGCTTTGTCATGCATTGTTAAATCTCCATCTTTGCCAAACAGTTTAGCAAACACTTGTAATGGTTGTTTAACAAGCTTCTGAAGTTCCATTTGTTTGTGAGATCCTGCAGTCAGGTGGTATGAAAATAATGAGCAATATTTGCAGTACAATCCTTTTTTATTATCTGAATAAACTAGCCATTCATATTTTTCCAGATGAGAATGATTAAGATATCGCTTTTCTTGTTTATTTTTCTTCTTGTGAAGTGAATGTGGCATTTTGTAGTCAGCTAGTGGCTTCCATGGCGATTCTAACAGACTTTTTTTTGTCAAATCATCCATAAATGTTCCAACAAATTTTCCAATATCATTGATAAACCCAGCATTTAAAATCTTACTAGAAAATGCCTTAGCAATTTCAGCTGTTCCAGTCTCAGTTGAAATCTGTTCATTTTCAGAAAAAGACTATCATGAGCTATGACTACTGAATTGACATTCATATTCCGGCTGTTGCTGTCTATATTATTACTGGTTTCTGTTATCTCATGTTCAACATGTTCAGTAGAAATACTATTACTTGTTGAAGCTTCTGCTGATGTGGTTGGAAGTGGAAGTTTAGTTGTTCCACCAACTTCAGTAGTGACAGTAGAATTAGTTGTAGATGCTTCAACAGACTTTTTTTCTCTTCAACGTCACAAAAAATGAATCCAAAGTACTCTGTAGTTGTAAAAAATTTGTTCTCTTCATTTTCTTCCGATGATAATGGTTTGTTGTAATTGTTCCTAATATTTTATAGTATTATAAACAATAATTAATGAATGTTTTAATTTAAAAGTAACTTGTATTTACTATTTTTGTCGTTTTTAAGTAACACAACACAATACACAACCATGGCGCTTGAAACCGAAAGTTAGACTGTTTTAAAGTGAATAGTGATATAAAATTAAAAAGTGCATATTTTAAAGGATTACTTAACACTACAATAATGGGATCCGTAGTAAATAATATGATTACTACATCACTCTTTTTAATAGAACAGAGTAGATTTAAGTTTACTGACATGATACCGCGATGATGCGAGCTACCGCGAGCGTGCACACTTGCACCGTCTTTACCGATGCTGATACGATCGCGACATATATGCCGTAATGTCTTAGTCACAAAGATTGTTATTTAAAGGGCAAATTGAAAAATAATTTAAACGTTTTTTTATTTGTGGGCTTGCCCGCCTTGCAGGCAGTTGTGGGTTGCCATGATGGATAAAAATCGCCCCCCCCCTTACTAGATCACCTGGATCCGCCCCTGGAATCAAGCAGCTGTTTAAGTGTTTAATTAATTAATCAATCGATTCAACAAATAATTAACCAGCAATTAAAATTAATAAATTAACAAGCCAATTAAATATCAATCAATCAATCAGTCAGTCGTTTATTCATTCATTCATTCATTCACTCACTCACTCACTCATACATTCATTCATTCATTCGTTTATTCGTTCATTCATTCATTCATTCATTCGTTTATTCATTCATTCGTTTATTCATTCATTCATTCATTCACTCATATATTCAATCATCCAACCAATCAGAATCATGATTGACAACAAAAGGATAACTTCAGATCCTAGCCGCTACGAACTGGAGAGTAACTCTTCAAGTATTGTAAGGTGATAGGCGTGGTTTCGATCTGTCAGTCATTAAACTTTTCAACCAATCAAGTTGACTGACATCTGTTTATGCTGAATAGATTAGCATAAATTAATTTTTTAATTATGCGATGCATACTTGATCTGAATTACTTTTTTTATTTATCTATTCATTCATCCATCTACATATTCATCCATCCATTCGTTCATTCACTCATCCATCTACCTATCCATCCATCTCTTCACCTACCCACGCATCTAGCTATCCATCCATCCATTCATTTATCCATCTATATCTACAAATTCATCCATCCATTCATCCATCAATCTACCTATCAATTCATCCATTCAATCTAACTATCCATTCATCCATTCATACGTTCATTCACTCATCCACTAGATTCAAGAAAGAAGGTACGTATAATTTAACGTGCGAGTGTTCCAACTACCAGGGCAGGAACCTGGTGAAGTTGACCGAGGTCATCAGGGTCACTCCTCAAGGTTCGTTTGCCATCCGCCCATCTGTTCATTCATTCATTCAACCATACGTTCGTTCGTTTGTTCATTCATTTATCCATCTATCCTTCCATCCACTCATTCATCTATCCATCCACCCATCCACTCATTCGTCCTTTTATCCATCCATCCATTCATCCATCCATTCACTCATTCATCTATCAATTCATCCATCTATCCTTCCATTCATTTATCCATCTATCCACTCATCCATCCTTCCATCCATTCACTCATTCATCTATCAATTCATCCATCTATCCTTCCATTCATCTATCCATCTATCCACTCATCCATACTTCCATCCATCCATCCATTCATCCATCCATCCATTCACTCATTCATCTATCAATTCATCCATCTATCCTTCCATTCATCTATCCACTCATCCATCCTTCCATTCATCCATCTATTCACTCATTCATCTATCAATTCATCCATCTATCCTTCCATTCACCTATCCATCTATCCACTCATCCATACTTCCATCCATCCATCCATTCATCCATCCATCCATTCACTCATTCATCTATCAATTCATCCATCTATCCTTCCATTCATCTATCCATCTATCCACTCATCCATCCTTCCATCCATTCACTCATTCATCTATCAATTCATCCATCTATCCTTCCATTCATCTATCCATCTATCCACTCATCCATCCTTCCATCCATCCATCCATTCACTCATTCATCTATCAATTCATCTATCCATCCTTCCATCCATCCATCCATTCACTCATTCATCTATCAATTCATCTATCCATCCTTCCATCCATCCATCCACTCACTCCAGGAAAGATGGATCGGCAGCAGCAGAGTGAGTACCTGACGATCGTCATCTCAGTTCTCGTCTTCGTCCTGGTTGCCATGCTCATCTCACTCCTCATATTCATCTACTACAACAGGCTAAAGAAAAACGGTTGATGGGTGGATGAGTGAGTGGATGGATGGATGGATGGATGGATGGACGGATGGATGGATGGATGGATGGATGGATTGATTGATGGATGGATGGATGGATGGATGGATGAGTGAATGGATGGATGGATGGATGGATAGATTGATGGATGGATGGATGAATGGATTGTTGAATGGATGGATAGATGAGTAAATAGATAAACTCATTCACTCACTCACTCATTCACTCACTCACTCAGCCCAACTGAAGTACATACATAACCTGGCGAAACATTTCACTGGGAAAGTCAAGAAAATTGATTACCGTTCCACGAGTGCCGAGCCCACATACTCTTATGACAGTGTTGACGACGACCAATACAACTCTGACGGCAGTGCCGGGCGTAACGCCCATGAAGTTGCTTCTGCAGATTCTGAGGAAAGAACAAAAGATGATGAAGATGACGAGGATGATGATTATAATGATGTTTCTAAGCAAGTTTGATTGGGGCTCTGGTGATAAGATGACTGATTGGTTGGTTGGTTGGTTGGATGGTTGGTTGGTTGGTTGGTTGGTTGGTTGGATGGTTGGTTGGTTGGTTGGATGGTTGGTTGATTGTTTAACTTTAGTTCGTTGGTTTGGTGAGTTTTTTCACTTTACCAAAATCTTCAAATGTTGTTAATCTAGATCGCCAAATTTTTATGGCCGCAAAATTAACTAAAAACTTTAAGTTGATAATGATAACGGTATTTCTTTTATTTCAAAAATCTGTTATATAAGACAAAGATGGCTAAAAATCACGGTTTCCAATGAAATTTTTTGTTTAAATTAATTCAATACCAACATGGGACTTAACTTGTTCGGAAAAATTTGTTTTAATAAATATTGTTTGGTTTTTAATACAAACCAAATTAGAAAAAATCGGCTTATTTTAAACTTTAGAATAAACCCAATCGTCTGAATCTAAAATTCTGCATCTAAATTTCAATTAAAATTTGTGCGAATGAAATGAAAATATATCATCTACTTGTCGTGCTATAATAATGTGGCAATCAAATGCTGTAACCAGAATTTTATTTTGGAAGATGACCTGAATTGGTTAAAAAAAACCTCTCTTCTTTTTTTGGCACAAATTTAAACATATCATTCTAGGAAATCCTCGGAACCAATGGTTTTGTACAGAATTGTATCCAATTTTAACTTTATGAAAGAAATGAAATAGCCTTCAGTCCAACTTTTTACAATTGTTTATAGAGATTTTTCAAAGTTTTGCCTTATTCGTACTAAAATTTTTCGTTGGGGGCTTCAGTCCCTAGGCTTACGCCACTCCACTGCTGAAATCTTCTCGCCGAATGGTTTAAATGTAGCAATATATGATAACATGCACAATTGAAATTGTAAGTAAGAATAATAGTAATTGAAAATTGAAAAGACAAACTTTAAATTGATTAATGCCAAGAATTCGGTAGAATTCGTACACCCTACTGTATAAAATATAGTCTCCTTCCAACAATTGTGTATATTTAGACATAATAATAGGTGATAATAAATACAATTATATAACAATATAATATTAAATAATAGTTAATTATTAAATTAATGGAATCGTTGACTCAAGTTAATGATTGATAATAAGTAAATGAAATAATTTTCTGACTGCAAAATTTGCTGCCAATTTAGACAACTTTAAATATCACTGCTAAGATATATTATAATTTTAGGAGGTTTAATAATTTTTGAACTCTCAAAAAATAAATAAATGGATGACTAAGAAGTGTTTGTTCAGTTGCGAGGTATTTTTGTTGTGATAGAGCTCGTTGAAGCAAAACCAAAGTTGAAGTTGCTTTGTTTTAAAATTTACGTCAGAAAATAATACTCTATATCTGAAATCATTGAGCTTCGCACAGCAGTCAAACCTTGTTTTTTAAACAAGGTTAAGCGTTGGTTTCGTAAGTTTTACCATAAGGTTTAATTTTGTTAATATATTTAGCCAAATACTTATATCTACCAAATTAATTTGAGAATCCAGGCATCCAGCTAATGCAGACACATTACCGAAATAAAAAAAATCCATAATTTAAGGCGCAAGTTGTCAAAATACCGTCGTTTCAAATAATTATTTAATTTAATTTTATATAATTTACTAAATAAATCAATTTAATTAAACTTGCTGCATAGCATTGAAGGCACTTCAAAGAAATATCATTCAGTCTTTAATTCAAACAGATTTAGAAGAAAAATAGTCGATTTTAAAATTTGAAATAAAGCTCTATTGACAAAACATTAAATTCTGAATATAAATTTCAATTAAAATATTTGCGAATGAAATGAAAATATATCATCAACTTGTCATGTTATAATAATTAAGACCTCTTTGAGCCCTGGCTGAAATACACTTGGAGCTTTTCTAAACTGACCATTCGATTCATCTTCTCTATTTGTGTTTTGAACATATTTCAATGTCTACATTAATTTTTGTAAAATAAAAATTGAAGAAATATTTTTTATTATTTTTGTATCTGTGAAAGTATCTTTTTTTATGCATAGATGGGCCCCACAAATATTTTCGCTCCGGGCCTCAATAGCCCTAGGAAAACAACTATCCATTATCAATGAAGCTTTAAGGGAATTATTTTCATTTTTCTTTTTAATTATCATTTTAAAACGGTTAAAAAAAGTCAAAAATATCATTTTCATCGTTGCGTTTCTATAATTCTTTTATTTCGAATATATGAAACATTTCTAGATGGGTAAAAAAATTTTTTCTCAATTAATCAAACAATTTAGAATAAATTATTCAATAAAGTTGATATAAAATGTTGAAAACTAATTTAAAAACCGCAGTCTAATTTTTAATGAGAAGTGAATAAAGATAAAAAATTAAAGTTAGTATAAAAAAACACACATCCACTTCGTGAAAAGGCAAAGACATTTAATAAAGTTGTAACTAGTTTAGATCAAGGAGAGGCCTATTTACCAATATGCAGCACTTTCTTATGGGTTGAAGCAGGGATATGCAAAGAATCTCAATTTTTTCAACTTTTAATTATTTTCGGTAATGTCGATTTTATTTTTTAAATTTTTACTAAATAAAAGTAATTAATTGAATTGAATTAATTGAATAACAATTTTTAAAAAATTAAAATTTTAACATTCTGAATAAAAGCAATATTCCGTAATTAGTAAATATACTATCGTAACTTTTGACTCGAACGATAAAAAAATCACCCTTCAACTCTCCTCCGGAAGTAAGCTCCTTGCTCGACCGTTAAAAGTGAGCGAAGGCCGTTATATTTATTCTAGTTAATTGTATCAAACAGTATCTTATTGAACAAAGTAGTATCATAAAATGAACAAAGATACTTTTTTCAAAAATTTAAAAAATTCTAAAATTGATTACATTGCGATATCGATGATGATGATGATTGTGAATGTGACTAATTAAAGACTAATTAAAAAACATCAAATAAAATTTATTTAAATAGAATGGGAAATTCGTTGCGAAATCGTTGGAGGAAATGACGTCATGTTAGCAGTAGTTATTTTACTGCATGGTAGTTAATCAGCCGGTATAAAGGTTATATTCAATTCCTATCAAATAAATTTGACCAAATATCATACGCAGGCAGAACTAAATAAAGAAATAGATAGATATAGATAAATAAATAAATATATATATATATATATACAATATTCTATAAATTCTACTGAATGTTTGGCGTTAATATGTTTGTAGTTCGTTTTTTCGATTTTTCTCACTAAAGTTTTTTGGTGAACGTTTAGTTTATTAAAATTCAAAATAAACTTATTTTTCGAATTCATGCTGCAAATAAAAATTAACTTTGGTGTTGTAAAATTGAACTTTGATGCGAATTAGGTGTCAGGTTTCTTAATTGGCTGGTCATCTTCTTTGGTCTCCTTTTCTTCATCGATAGCATCATATTCTTCTTTGTCACTATTTACGATGCTAGTTTTTATTACTTCTTTGTTTTCGTTGTTGGTTAAGCGCCGGGTTGGAAGTGAGGTTGTCATTTTTTGTTGTATATTTATTTTTGGTTTATTGATGTCGATTAGCACTGCTTCTGCAATTTTAAGATGCGTGTAGTG